TGCTCCTCTGATGCTGCTTGGCCAGCTGTGTTCATCCAGCTCTACACTTTGTTATCACACAACTGACCAAGCCTATTTTGCAGGACAATAGGAAACATCGAGCTGTTTCCAGAACAAAGGGACACCTTATACTCTTATCTGGAAAGGCTACCTGACCTATGTGCCCCTAACAATTTCAGGAAGGGAAACCTAAAGACCACCCCACCATCCACATGGCATTGCCTGATTGAGGGATCAATTCCTGACTGATCCATTAGTGGGAATTGAAGATCTTCCCAAAGGGGTGCAGAAGCTTCCAAGGATAAGAATTGCTGTAACAGCACTCCTGGGTGTGGTAACTCGAGACCATCCACCGTAAGAAGAGGTGCCCCTGCGACCATTGGGAGAGGAAGACCTGACGACCATCACCACATGGATCAAGGCTAAGGTCCAGAGTGTTGATGTTTGATCATTCCAAGTTAAGTTAAAGTACAAGATACTGATTTAGATTTACTGTGTTAATTGCCAGATTTATAGTGTTAATTGTTAGTTTGTAGCATAATCATTACTATAGTATTAATGGTGTTAAAATCAATAAAGATCATTTCCTATTACTATTAAGAGTCGACTCACAGTCCTTTGTGGGATATATGAGCTAAACACACTGTGTGGCGAGCGCAACATAACCTGTACACCCTCTGCAGCTATTTCTTTCAAGACCACAGCATGCAGGTCACCTGGTCCAGGGAAATTGTCAACGTTTAATTCTGGCAGTTTTGTCAATGTATTTTCCCTAATGAGATAACAGTGTGGAGCTGGAGGAACACAGCAGGCCAGGCAGCATCAGAGGAGCAGGAAAGTTGACGTTTCGGGTCGGCACCCTTCTTCAGAAATCCTATTTTCCCTAATGATTGTTTTAGGTACCTCTACCTCTTTTAATAATTGATTTTCAAGTAATCTTGGAGCTACAGAAGGAAGCCAAAAAACACTCACTCAATGCTTCTACCATTTCTTTCTTTCTATTATTAATTGCTCAGTTTCATTCTGCCAGGGACCAATACTCACTTCAGTTATTTTTTTCATTTTTAAATGCTTGTGAAAACCCTTACCGTCTGTTTATTTATTTTTTAAGTTAGTTTTCTTCCATACTCTAATTTCTCCCTCCTTTATATGTTTTCAGTCATTCTTTGCTGGTTTCCAATTGTCTGAACTACCATTAATCTTTGCAGCATTTTGAACTATTTATTTTCAAAATGATCTTATCCTTTACCTCCTTGGTTAGCCATAGATTCTGCTCATAGAATCTTCTTTTATTCAAAGGGTTATGTTGATGAGATTTATGAAATGCCTTCTTAAATTGCTGCCATTGCTCGACTACTATCCTACCTCATAACCTACTTTATCAGTTCAATTCAAACAGCTTTGTCCTCATACACATGTAATTATTTTCATGTAATTAACTTCGACAAGGGAGCCTCTGAAATGTCCACATTCTTCCTCAACCGACCCATCTCCCGCACTTCTGCCCTCACCCGTTCTCTTCCCTCCTGCAACAGCAATAGGGTTCCCCTTATCCTCACCTACCATCCCACCAGCATCCACATCCAGAAGATCATCAGACGCCATTTCCGCCACCTCCAGCAAGATGCCACCACCAGACACATATTCCCCTCCCCTCCCTTGTCCGCCTTCCGGAGGGACCATTCCCTCCAGGACACCCTGGTCCATACTTTCTTCACCCCCAACACCTCCCCACAGCCCTACGGCACCTTCCCCTGTAACCGGCGAAGGTGCAACACCTGCCCATTTACCTCCTCCCTCCCCAGAATCCAAGGGCCCAAACATACCTTCCAGGTGAAGCAACACTTCACCTGCACTTCCAAGAATCTAGTCTACTGCATTCGCTGCTTACAACGTGGTCTCCTCTACATTGGGGAAACGAAGCGTAGACTTGGCGACTGCTTCGCAGAACATCTACGTTCTGCTCGCAAAAAAGACCCTGAACTACCTGTTGCCTGCCACTTCAATGCACCACCTTGCTCCCTGGCCAACATCTTGTCTCTGGTTTGTTACAGTGTTCCAGTGAAGCCCAGCGCAAGCTGGAGGAACAACACTTCATTTTCTGTTTGGGGACCCTACAGCCCTCCAGACTCAATATTGAGTTCAATAATTTTAGGGCCTAAACTCTCCCATATCCTAGCCCCCCACCCCACACACCAGGCCTTGTTACCACATAGCCTGCCACTATACACCCCCTGTTGTTAGTCACTAACAGTCCCCATTAACAACGGTTCACCCTCCCATCCTGATCGTTAGCAACTCCTTTGTCTGTCCAACTGTCTTTCTCTCTCTTTGGACTCTATCCTATCGTTTACTCCCTACCCCACCCACCTCCCTATTTTCTGCATATAAACTGATGTTTTCCCAGCCACCATCAGGTCTGAGGAAGGGTCACCGGACCCGAAACGTTAACTCTGTTTTCTCCTCCACAGATGCTGCCAGACCTGCTGAGCTTTTCCAGCAACTTTGTTTTTGTTCCTGTGTGTAATTATTTTCATTTGAGTTTGAGACACTAGTTTTCAATGGATACTTCTCACTCTCAAACAGAATGTGACTTTTTTTCATGGGATGATCACTTTTGTTGTGAGATTCCTTTGTTATTAGGTAATGAATTAATCTTAACTCATTGCACTTTGCAAGGTACAAAATTTTCTGCTCCCTGACTGGCATAAGGACAATAAACCCTAAGAAATTGTCCCAAATAATTCTGCAAACATATCTTCCACGAATTTTGCCAAACTGATTTGTCCAATCTATATGAAATTTAAAAACACCGATAATTATTGCAGTATCTTTCTTATAGGGCTACATTATTTCTGCCGGCATATTGTGTCCTACACTGCAGGTACTGTTAGTGGACCTATAAATACTCTCAAGTAACATAATGCAAGTTGGAGGAACAGCATCCCATCTTCCACTTTGGGAACTAGTAGCCTTCTGGACTCAATATTAAGTTTAATAATTTTAGAGCCCAAACTTCTTTCTCCATGTTTTTTACCTACCCTCATGTCCCAGGTCCTGTAAATGTCAAAGGCTGCTTTTAGCACAACCAACCCATTTTCATCTACTCACAGCCCCCTTTATCACCTAACTAGCTTTTCTTCTTACAAGCCAAAAGAACTGCAGGTGCTGTAAATCAGAAACAAAAACAGAAGTTGCTGAAAAAGCTCAGTAGGTCTGGCAGCATCTGTAAAGAGAAATCAAAGTTAATGTTTCAGGTCCAGTGACCCTTCTCAGAACTGATGCTGGCTAGGAAAATGTTGGTCTATATGCAGAAGATAGGGTAGGGGAGGGGGTGAGGAGTAAAAGATAGGTGGGGATAGACCCCAAAGGAAGAAAAGAACAGTTGGACATACGAGGGAGTGGATAACAATCTGGATGGACGTGTGAATAGCCGTTAATGGGGACTGTTAGTGGATGACAATAGGTGGTGTGTAATGGCAGACTATGTGATAACAAGGTCTGGTGTGTGGGATAGGGGGCTAGGACATGGGAGAGTTCAGGCCCTAAAACTACTGAACTTGATATTCAGTCTGGAGGACTGCAGGATCCCCAAGCAGAAAATGAGGTGTTGTTCTTCCAGTTTGCACTGAGCTTTGCTGGAACACTGCAGCAAGCCAGAGACAGAGATGTTGGCCAGGGAACATGGTAATGTATTAAAATGGCAGACAACTGGAAGCTCAGGGTCTTTTTTGTGAGCAGAACGTAGATGTTCTGCAAAGTGGTCACCCAGTCTATGCTTCATTTCCCTAATGTAGAGGAGACTACGTTGTGACCAGCGAATGCAGTGGTCTACATTGTGTGAAGTGCAGGTAAAGTGCTGCTTCACCTGGAAGGTATGTTTGGGCCCTTGGATACTGAGAAGGGAGGAGGTAAATGGGCAGGTGTTACACTTTCAGTGTTTGCCATGGGGCTGTGGGAGTTGCTGGGAGCAAAGGAAAAGTGGACCAGAGTGTCCTGGAGGGAACAGTCCCTGTGGAAGGCGGACAAGGGAGGGGAGGTGAACATGTGTCTGGTGGTGGCATCTCGCTGGAGGTGGCGGAAATGGTGGCTGACCATCTTCTGGATGTGGATGCTGGCTAGTTTTACTTCTTCCCATGCTTACTATAACAATCCTTTTTCTGCCTAACATTCTTCCTCTCTCTCTGTCTTGGTTCCATCCCCACCTGTCACTCCACAACCCCAACATCCCAGCATGTCACCAGCATGAATACCACTTATTCCTAGATGTCATCAGTTATGATAAATGCTCATTGGACTCAATACATTAACTATGCTTTCTCTCCACAGACGCTTCCAGATCTGCTGAGTTTCTCCAGCAATTTCTGCTTTCGTTTCAAATTTCCAACATCTGCTATTCTTTGTTATATATTATTGACTTCTTACCTTGGCTATTTTGTATCTCTACCAAAATTGATTTTGCATCTTGATTTTCTGAATTATGGTACTCTATCACTCCTATACTGACTTACTTTTACAGATCTTTTAAAAATTTTCATGTAGAGTTGCTGCAGCTCTCAGTGAGCTCCCTTTACTTGCAATGCCATTTTTTATTGCAAAATGTTGCTTGCAAATATATAAATCTGGTAGGCTCTTACCTCATTTTTTTCTTTCAGCTTGGTAATCATAACAATCACAGGACAGTCCTCCTGCCAAACCATCCGCCAGAAGTCATTCACTGTATTGATCATAGGGCCCTGAGTAGCAATGTATGCCCTCTGCTGACCACCATAACCCTGAATGACATGGAAAGGCCAGTGTAACTTGGTTATACAAAAGAAAACGCAGCACCTAACTCACTGCTGAGTGAATCCCTTTTGCGCATTGAGCAGTGGCAGGAAGCATTCATGAGCGAAGTCAATCAGAAATACTTTTCTCATCATATCACTTCGATAAAAGCAATAACAACTATAAGTCACCACCGTGTTCATGCACTTCCTAAAGCCATTACACGTTAACCTTAGCAACAATTACTTGTGGAATCACCTCACCCTCTATGTGTCAGAGAGTTGACTTTGACAATTACATGTATAAAATGAAACAATCTTTACTAAATTACATTAGAAATCTGATTCTATTGCATTCTACTATCATAAATTAGTGCACTTCTACACATTATCAACTGCCCAATCAACAAAAACATCTCTATTAATGAGAGTGTCTTCAATTCGTAGAGAGATTTTCCTTTGATTGGATACCAAAATCTCCACCAGAGGACCCACTTATTCCTAAGACATTGGACAATTTTGTTGCATTTTTGCAAAACAAAATTGAAATAACAATTAATAAAAAAAGGTTAAATCCACACTGGTGGTGATCCTGATCATTAGCACTAACTTTGACAGGAAAGCTGTTAAACTCTTTTAAGATGGTTTAATGCAAAGTCTTGCTACAAAATTATAAATACTTAGCTAATCTTTGCTTATGGATTTAAATTGTAATTACTACTCCAATCCTGTTATTTGTCAATAGAACGAATTAGCTGGATTGAACTAAATCTGTTAACAATTTGATTATTAAGTTAGGGACAAATATTAATAAAATTGTCAATTAACTGTTTGTTAACTCAATTAATCACCATCTTTTTGACAGACGGAGAGGGTAAGATGTGACAAACCATCAATTTCACCGAAAAGAGTGGACAAGGTAAGGCCAATGAGACAGGCAGTCAGTATCACCAAGAGGAGCAAGTGAGGACCACATTACACGCAGTCAGTGTCACTGAGAGGAGTGGCTGAGGTGAGGACCTTGTGACAGGCAGTCAGTATCAAGTGTGGAAACTTGTGGCACTTCAAAGAGTAGAGACAAGATAAGAGAGGAAAATAATAAGATGGGAAATGAGGGTCAGAGAATGGTAGGAAGAGATTGATGGAAAAACAATAGGGACACACTGACAATCAAGATTAGACGCAAAGATAACAAAATGACATAACTAAAGGTTTTGTATCAGAATATGTGTAGCATTCATAAACAAATTAACAGCACACATTGAAATAAATATATACAGGAACAAAAACAAAGTTGCTGGAAAAGCTCAGCAGGTCTAGCAGCATCTGTGGAGGAGAAAACAGAGTTAACGTTTCGGGTCCAGTGACCCTTCCTCAAAAATAAATACATATATCAGAAAGCCCTTACAGAGACATGTCTTGAAGATGACAAGGATTGGGCCCTGAATATTGAGAGCTATGTCACATTCGAGAAAAGTATAGAGGTGGTGGTGTAGCACTGTTAATCAAGGATGGCATTTGTGAAACAGTTAAAATTGACCTTGGTTCAACAGATCAGAATATAGAACCAGTGTGGGTGGACATGAGAAATAGTAAGGGAAAGAAGTAACTAATGGGAGTGTTCTACAGACACCTAAAGTAACCACAACATGTAACAAATTATAAAAGAAGACATGGTGACTTTAATTTACATATAAGCTGGAAAAATCAAATTGCAGTCATAGCCTGGATGAAGAGTTCATAGAATGTTTTCAAGATAGTTTTTTTTAGAGCAGCACCATGTTTTGGAACCAACGAGAGAGCAGGTTAGATTTAACTTAGTATGGTGTAATGTGATAAGATTAATTAAAAATGTTGCAGTTAAATCACCACTCGGTCACAGTGATCATGATCAAATTGAAGCGTACATTCAGTTTGAAAAGGAGAAGATTGAGTCTAATAGTAGTATCGCACATTTATCTGTTTCAACATTAGAGAGTGCCCTTTCAGGTAAGAGATGAGGAGAAAATTTTCCTTCTAAAGAGTTTGTGACCTTGGAACTCACTGCCCCAAAAGGTGGTGGAGGTTAGGTCACTGAATATTTTTAAGGCAGAGGTACATTGATTCTCGCTACGCAAGGGAATCATGGATTATCAGGGTAAGTGGGAATGCGGAATCCAAAACATAAACAGAGCAGCTGTGATCTTACTGAATGGTGGACCAGGCTTGAAGGGCTATTTCTCCTCCTATTTCATATGTTCGTTTGTTTGTAATTGTTGAAAACAAGATTTGTTTTTTTCAATTCCCTGTTTATCTCTTACAATTATGTTTAAAATGTTTACATTTTTTAAACTTTCGCATTCCCTGTATCTAGATTTAGTAAATTAAATTTATTGCCATTTAAAAGATTGTGATTAAACTTTAAAATGCATGGACAACATGCATCCAATGAGAAATCACCTAACACTCACTGAGATAACAAGCACAAGCACCACATTTAATTCTATGGTGAATGCAGTTGCATAACTGGACAGAAACATTAACACAAACTATGCAGATTATGAATGCAACCAGTGCACTTACTTACCCTAATGTAGTTGGCATTAATGTAGGTATTGCTAACAGGTTCATCATCATTCTTTGGTATAAGACATACTCTGCTATGTGGGTCTAAGAAAGAGACAAAAAAATGAGCTCAAAATAGAGAGAGGTTTTTGTGTCCCTTGTGTTTTCTATAATTTAAAGCAAACTGATGCATTATAGAGCGATTTTCACAATTTTCAATTTAGTTGCAGCTCTGGCATAGTCAATACTGAAGAGGAGTGCAACTGCTTACAAGAGATCATTGATCAGCATGTAGATAAGGTAAATAATGTAACATAGATTAACATCAGGTAATATATTTTGGTAGGAAGAGTAGGAAGATCACTTGTTAAATGGAAGCTATAAGTTTAGGTAGATCAAGGAACAAAGTGATCTCAGGGCACAAATACACAAATAGAGCTATAGAGTCATACAGCATGGAAACAGACCCTTCGGTCCAACCAGTCCATGCTGAACAGAAGCCCAAACTAACCTAGTCCCACCTGCCTGCTCCTGGCCCATATCCCTCCAAATCTTTCCTATTCATGTATCTATCCAAATGTCTTTTAACCATTGTAATTGTACCCACATCCACCACTTCCTCAGGAAGTTCATTCCACACACAAACCACTCTCTCTGTAAAAAATTTGCCTCTTACATCATTTTTAAATCTCTCTCCTCTCACCTTAAAAATGTGCCCCCTAGTCTTGAAATCCCCCTTCCTAGGGAAAAGACAACTACCATTAATTCTATCTATACCCCTCATTTTTTAAAAATTTCTATAAGGTTGCCTCTCAACCTGCTACATTCCAATGAAAAAAGTCCCAGCCTATCCACCTTTCTTTATAACTTGAACCTTAAATACTCAGCAACAACCTGGTGTATTTCTTCTGAACCCTCCAGCTTAATAATATCCTTCCTATAACTGGGTGACCAGAGCTGGACACAGTACTCCAGAAGAGGCCTCACCAATGTACTGTATGATCTCTACATGGCTTCCCAACTCCTATACTGACTAACAGTTATGCCTTAGGTTAGCAAGTCCACAGGAAATGCAAAGTCTGATGTTTGCCTTACTTTCATTGGGTTACCACAAATGGTAGCTTCTCTATTTGGAACTTTTCTTTACTGTAGAAATGTACTTTTTTGACTATTTTGAAATATTCCTTTAAATGTCTGTCACTGCTTCTCTACTGTTCTATTTCCTGGCCTAGTATCTTACTTCACTTTAGCTAGCTCAGCTTTTATGCCCACTTATTCACCCTTATATAAGTTTGAAATGCTAGCACTAGACCCACGTTTCTCCCCTTCAAACTAAATGCAAAATTCAATCATGTTATTATCACTGCTACCTAGATGTGCCTTTGCCCTGAGGTCATTAACTAATCCAGTCACAAATGGAGAATTCACTACCGCAAGGATTGGTTGAAATGAATCATATAGGTCCCTTTAAACATGAGAGAAATGAACTGATAATGATAGATTTAGTTGGGGAAAGATGACAGGAAGTTTGAGTACAGCATAAATGTTGTAAGGACTTGTACGGTTGATCACCCTGCTTCCGTAACGTATATTCTTGGTAATTGAATGTCATTTGAACTAAAGGAAACTCATTTTATGATATTACCAAAAAAAAATGCGAAGGTATAAGATTTAGCAGATTTAGAAGTATCCATAGCCACTTTCGAAATAGCCAATAGGTGGACTTAATGCGTGCCAAAGAAAACTACATTCCAGTCAAAGCATTTCAATACAGTATTTATATAATGATTCCTTATTCTAAATCAAATAGCCAGCATTAGTATATTGAATCATTTTTCAGTAACACCGGCAAAGGACAAATAGAGCATTTTTGCCCAGCATTCTTAAATGAACTGATAAAACTAGCTTCCTGAGAACAAAAGGCCTTAACTCCCTTTGAAGTAATTAGTCATTCATTCTTAACCTCTACTTGGAAGAATAATGCAGCAGTTTTTTTTTTTAAATGTGAAAATAAAAGTGGCACAAATTTCATGAATTGTGATAGTGGAACTATTTTATTGTACAGTCATCAGTTACTTGGTTTCCTCTTTTACCGTGGGAAATGTATTAATCAAAAAGCAGTTAGATTACATGCAGTTAATGACCCCATGCCAAAATCTTGAGGAAAAAGTGCATTTATGTCATGATATGAAATATCATTACTGCAGATGTGCAAGAGCATTGACAAAAGTAAAATGTAATCTTCACTGTGTCCTTTGATGTGCCAAACAAGATGGAAAACACACCTCAATTAACACCCATTAACCTTGACCTTAAACTGGCAATTACTACACCATAACAATTTTTTTTGGCCACTCAACCTTTCTCAATCTCTAATGGCCAGTGTCTTACCAATGAGAGAACAGGAAGCCTCCCAGTTCCTTTATAGTGGATAAAATTATTTGTTTCCATAAGAATCTCGTTGCTACATGACCATGCCAATCACTCCACCTTTTTTATTACACAATGATGAGATCATTTATAATTCTAAAATGTTCCTTATTCAGGGGAATGACACGCATATTGATTTTCAAGAGTTTCTTAAGAAAAAACTTTGTCTGAAAGACATGGTTGTAAATTGTTGACTATCAGTTCTGTAACTTAATCAAGTTGGTTAATGGACAATTGGTCAGGGCCTTGAGTGCAGGAGTTGGTACATCATGTTTTGGCTGTACAAAACATTGAAAAGGCCACATTTGGAATTTTTCCTTTAAAGGATCCATACAGTGTGGAAACAGGCCCTTTGGCCCAACAAGTCCACACCAACCCTTGGAGCATCCCACCCAGACCCATCCCCTTACAACCCACCTAATCTACACATCCCTGAACATTACAGGCAATTTACCATGACCAATTCATCTAATGTACACATCTTTGGACTGTGGGAGGAAACCCATGCAGATACAGGGAGAACATGCAAACTCCACACAGACAGTTGCCCAAGGGTGGAATTGAACCTGGGTCCCTAGCACTGTGAGGCAGCAGTGCTAACCACTGAGCCACTGTGCTACCCCATTCTTGTACAATTCTGCTTGCCCTGCTATAGGAAGGATGTTGTTAAATTAGAAAGGGTGCAAAAAAGATTTACAAAGATGTTACCAAGACTGGAAGGTTTGAGTTATAAGGAGGGGCTGGATAGTTTGGGACTTTTTTTCCCTCTGGTGTGTAGGAGGCTGAGGGGTGATTTTATAGAGGTTTATAAAATCATGAGGGACACAGATAAAGTGAAGAGCCAAGGTCTTTTCCCCAGAGTAGAGGAATTCAAAACTAGAGGTAACAGGTTTAAGTTGAGTGAGGAAAGATTTAAAAGGGACCTGAGGGGCAACTTTTTCACACAGAGAGTGGTGTGTATACAGAAAGAGCTGCCAGGGGAAGTGGTAGAGGCAAGTACAATTACAACATTTAAAAGGCATTTGGACAGGTACATGGATAGGAAAGGTTCAGAGGCATATGGACCAAACGCGGGAAAATGGGACTAGTTCAGTTTAGGAAACCTGGTCGGCGTGAACGAGTTTGGCCAAAAGGCCTGACTCTATGATTAATTGCCTTATTGATAACTGGCTTGGCTGCAGTAACATTGGATGGCCTCATTGCTATGATTTTTGGACAATAACAATACTCTCAAATAAATAATACTTTATAATATTAAATGATGCTTTAAAATAATGGTAGATTGTGCATATTTAAAAAGCAAAACATGTTTTATTTAAAATTAAATGGCTTGCACATATCACTGAGATTCTGTAAATTAAACCAGTTAGTATTTTACATGGCTCCCATTCAAGTAAATAATTTGGATTAGGAAAAGGCAATATAACCTGTCACTGTATCATTCAGATGAGGAACCTCATGTTTCTTATACAAGCTAAGGTATTCAGAAGCAGGATGTCTCATAAGCATGTGTTTTTTTAGATTCTGATTCGATCACCACCAAGAAAACAATTGAAAGCAAAAGCAAAATATTGTGAATGTTGCAGACCTGAAATATAAATAAAGTGTTGGAGAGACCCAGGAAAACAGTGTTAATATTTGAAGTCCAACATGATGCTTCTTTAGAACTGGAGTTATAGTTTCAGAAGCTTCAACCTAGTATTAAAAGTATTTAACATTGTAAGGATTAATTAATTTGTAAGAGATGGCAGAAGAGCTCCAATCGTAGTCTGCTCCTTTTGCTCGACGTGGGAAGCCGGGTACTTTTCCAGTGCCTGGGACCTGCATGTGTGCAAGAAGTGTCTCCAGCTGCAGCTCCTGGAAGCCTGAGTTTCGGAGTTGTGCGGTGTCTGGGGACACTATGGAACATTCGCGAGGCAGAGAGTGTCGTGGTTAGCACATACAGAGAGGTGGTCACATGCAGACTCAGACTCCACATGCAGGAAGGGAATGGGTGACCACCAGGCAGAGCAAACGGGCTAAGCAGGCAGTGCAGGAATCTCCTGTGGCTATTCCCCTGCTAAACAGATATACCGTTTTGGATACTGTTGAGGGGAATGGCCTCTCAGGGGATAACAGCAGCAGCCAAATTCATGGCACCATGGTTGGCTCTGCTGCAGAGGAAGGGAGACATAGGCATAGAAATGCTATAGTTGTAGGGGATTCAATTGTAAGGGGAATAGATAGGCATTTCTGTGGCCCTAAACAAGAGTCCAGGATGGTGTGTTGCCTCCCTGGTACTATGGCTCTGGATGTCTTGTGCGATTGCAGGACATTCTGGAGGGGAAGGGTGAATAGCCAGTGATCGTGGTACAAGGTGATACTAACAACATAGGTAAAAAAAGAGATGCGGTCCTAAAAGCAGAATATAGAGAACTAGGAAGAAAGTTAAAATGTAGGACCTCAAAGGTAGTTATCTCAGGATTACTACCAATGCCATGAGCGAGTCAGAGTAGAAACAGCAGGATGTATAGGATGAACACGTGGCTAAAAAGATGGTGGGAGGGGAAAGGTTTCAGACTCGTGGGGCATTGGGACCGGTTCTGGGGAGGTGGGACCTGTGCAACTGGACAGGTTACACCTGGACAGGACCGGGACTGATGTCCTTGGGGCACACTTGGTAGAGTGGTTGGGAG